TTTACTGTTTCTAGCCGTTGACATGCTGGAATCAGGGGTATTTTTGTCTTTTAATTTAATTTAAATTTAATAATATTTAAATCATTAAAAATATTTTAAAATTCAAATTTTATTATTTAATTGTTAAAATATTATTTATTAATTAAAAATATTATTGTACAATTTAAAATTTATCATTATTTTCAAAATTATTTTTTTATTTACTATTTACTTTAAGTACACAGTAAATAGTAATTATGCTGCACTTTTAACTTTGGACCCACTGTAACTTAAAAAATTAACCAAGTTACAGTAATATTTTCAAAATTTAATTATTTTTTTAAAAAAAAAGAAAAATAAAAAGCAAAACTAAGATTTTTTTTACTCTTACCGCTACAGCAAATCCTAAATGGTAATTATGTTGCACTTTTAACCTTGTACCCACTGTAACTTAAAAAATATACCGAGTTACAATAAATAATTCAAATTTTTTTTTTTTAGATTTATTTTTTACTTTGACCGCTGCAGTAAACCCTAAATGGTAATTATAATACACTTTTAACCTTGGACTCACTATGACTTCAAAAATTTATTGAGTTACAGTAAATAATTCGAAATTCAATTTTTTTTTAAAAAAAAAAGAAAAGGCAAAACCACGATTTTTTTTACTCTAACCGCTATAGTAAACCCTAAATGGTAATTATGTTGCACTTTTAACTTTAGACCCACTGTAACTTAAAAAAAATTACCGAGTTACAGTAAATAATTCAAAATTCAATTTTTTTTCCAAAAGAAAAGGAAAAACCAAGATTTTTTTTACTCTGATCGCTACGTTGCTTTTTTAACGTTGGACCTACAATAACTTAAAAAATTTATCGAGTTACAGTAAATAATTCAAAATTTAATTTTTTTAAAAAAAAAAGAAAAAGCAAAACAAAGTAATTGACCGCTACACTAAACCCTTATGTTGCACTTTTAACCTTGGACCCAATGTAACTTAAAAAATTTGCAGAGTTACAGTAAATAATTTAAAATTCAACTGTAGCAGTCAAAGTAAAAAAAAAAATCTTGGTTTTACTTTTTTCTTTTTTTAAAAAAAATAAATTTTGAATTATTTACTGTAACTTGGTAAATTTTTTAAGTTATAGTGGGTCCAAAGTTAAAAGTGCAACATAATTACCATTTAGGGTTTACAATAGCGGTCAGAGTAAAAAAATGGTTTGGCTTTTTCTTTTCTTTTTTTTTAAAGAAATTAGATTTTGAATTATTTACTGTAACTCGGTAAATTTTTTAAGTTACAGTGGGTTCAAGGTTAAAAGTGCAACATAATTATTATTTATTTTGACATAAGATAAATGATAAACGAAAAAATTAATTTTGAAAATAATGTAAATTTTATAATTTTATAATAATAATTTTAATTAATAAATAATATTTTAACAATTAAATAATGAAATCTGAATTTTAAAATATTTTTAATGATTTAAATTTTCATTAAAATTTAAATTAAATTAAAAGACAAAAATATCCCTGATTCCGGCATGTCAACAGCCAGAAATAGTGAAATGGGACCAAAAAAGTGTGAAAACATAATGTTTGGGACTACGATATTGAAAATGTAAGGGACGTAAATTCAAGTATGCTTAAATGTAAGGGACCATTTGGACATTTTAGTCTTAGGCAAAAATGTTTAGCTGTTGTACCCTGGGTGCCTTCTTAGTAGCCATCAGCTGATGCAAGTATGCTCCCGTGATGGATTCTTCTGATGATATGATGGAAGCTGAAGAAATTGGCATAGCAACAATAGATGTTGACGATGATAATGTCGGGATCCAGTAGCCAAGTGGGATAAATGTGAACAATGGTATACATCAGTGGCAGCAGCAACATTGCTTGATTCTGCAGCCAACCCAAAACATTTCCACACCAATTGTGTGGTTATCGTAATAAAGTAAAGATTAGATGGTGGCCTTTGTAATTAGCAGCAGCTGTGCTTTTGTAGACAACTTCTTCTTTTCTGGCTGCCTTATTAATTCATTAGGAGTCTTAGTTAGCCCTCTTGCACCTCTTATCTTAATATCGAAAAGAAATTTTGATCAGTTGCTTGCTGTAGACACCCACTTTGTAGCAGGAATCCTCTGCGTTGGGAAGTTATATGCAGGCAGGGGTTCCGAACAGAAGTTCAAATTACAGCGTATCTATTAGGCTTATCTTGTATCATTCTAATTGCTTTTGCATTGTCCACTCTCGAGGCCAACAATTGAAATATCTTGGTCTATTCAAGAGAGTACAAATGAGTAGAAAATGCATGGTTCAGAACCTTCAAAGTTATCATGCCTAGCAGCTAAAATTGAAGAGTAGTACGGTTAAAAGTGGAATGACTTAGAAAAAATCATTATTGATTAATTGGGGCCTTTTTCCTTTCTCCAACCTCAGTTGGAAATAATCCTCCTTACTATACTTAACCAAAAGTTATTAGGAAGAAATCATCCTCGCGTTTTGAGTTATTTTATGAGTAGTAATTGTTATGAGTTAAATTGAATAGTGAAGATTGTATTTAATTGTGCTTTATATGATGGAAAAGAAATACTACAAATGATGCAAATTACTCAATATGTATAATTGGCCAGACTATTCACAAGCCAAATTATTATCTTCTTCAATCAAACTATTTGATACAAACTGGCGAAGGTCATTACCATTAAAAAAAAAAACACTAACCGTAAAGAACCATTTTATTCAAAAGAAAAAATAAAAAACTTAGATGAACAGATTAGTCATCTTATATATGTTGTATTTCTTTTTACTTATTCTGTATGCTTGATCAAAACCAATGCTCATCATCATTATTCACCTTAATCGTCATCTATTTGTCATATGACAATTATTGCACGAGATTTTGTAATTATTATAGTTTATTATTACCACAATATATAGTTAGTTGAATAATCATTTTTTAAAAAATAAAATAAGATCAGAACCCGAACAAAATTTCAACAAAAATAAAAATTAACTCACCAAATTATTAATAGAATGTGTCGCGCAACACACGATAGATGTAAGCAGGGGCGGAGACACATACACGATTAGTGGGGCAATTGCCCCAGCTGATTTTTTTTTTTTAGTTATTATCCCTTAAAATTTGAGATATTTTCTTAAAAAAATTAGATTTTGCCCCACCTAAATTAATAATATTAGGGAGCAAATATATTAAATTAGTAATATTAAAAATTTTGCCCCATCACTTCTTCGGGGCCTAGCTCCGCCCCTGAATATAAGCACTAATACATTCAAAAATCTAGATAACAAACCTTACACTCATAATTCTAAGTACGCCAGATTATTTATAGGGTGCTCGAGCACTAGTTTATATACTATGTTTTCATATTTTTAACAATACTCTTGACAGGATTAATTAAAAGTATATTGGTCATTTTTTTTAAAAAAATCAAAGTAGAATGGATATTTTTGGTTGGAGAAGAGGGAAAATGTTATACTGGAAGATTTCTCGAATAAATATGTAAAAAATGATGATACGTACAAAAAAAAATTGATGCGGAATGAGGTGCAATATTAACTATCTCCTAAATCTAACATGGATAAACCCCTAAAAGAAAATTATAAATGAGGATGGTTATAATTCATTTCCTGTAAAAATTTTTCGTAAAATTTTTCAGCACGAATCATTATCCATATGGCAATTGTTAAATCAAAAAACTGTAGATACCATTAATGTTCCTTCTGTGTAGGGGTAGGTGCGGTTCGGTCATTCAGGTTTTTGGTCCGGATAAATTCGATTTTTATTTTTTTTCAAGAGAATTTTAACTGCCCGAAATCTGAACCGAAAAGAAAGGTTGACCAAAACCGAATGACCAAAATAGTTTCGGTTTTTTCGGTTCTGTGACTATTTTAATCGAAACATTATTTTCAATTATACTAGTTAAATTTTTTAGTTAAGATCTTCCATGACTCAGTCAATATGTAAATTATAATGTAACTGTAAATATTTGTAGATTTTTTTATCAAGTTAACCATGGTTCAAATCACATATGTTCACAAGACATTATATATTTACAGAATATGTTTTTGATAATTTCATATTATGTCATATTCAGCTATAGATGGCATACTGAGTGATTTATTATTTATGATATTCAATAAATTATTATATTGGTAATATCAAATGTGTAAAATTTAAGTTATAAATTTATGTATGTCCAAACTATTACTAATTTATATATATATATATATATATATACATATTATGTGCGGTTATTCGGTTAACCGCACTGAACCAAACCAAACTATTTTGGTCTGGTTAACCGAAATAAAAGTATAAATTTGATAACCCAACCATTAACTTCCTTCTAAGAGCAATTCGGTTAAAAATTCGAACCGAAAACCATTTCGAACAGAACCGAACGATTTGGATGCGGTTTGGTTCGGACAGTTCTCACGGTTTTGTTAAACTTTGCCCACCCCCACTTCCATGGTTATATTTCGAGACCAAACTCTTAATATTTGAGTCAATAATCACATAACTTTTTCCATAACTCATAAGAAAATAACACTCTGAAAAAGTAGAGTAGAAAAAGACATAGTGAAGGACACGCATTAAGCGCTACATTTCCCTTATACTAACTACAATTCATCTCCATTTCTTTCAAATTTTCAGAGTATAATACTACCACGATTGATTGCACATCATGAGTTCATCAATTTCTTATAATCTCATTCGCTTAATAACATATAAAATAGCCTACAATGAAATTCGCTTGATATAATATATTCTCTCTGTTCTGAAATCATTGTTTCGTTTGAATTTTTAATTTTCGTTCAAATTGTACTGAAATTAAAAATACAAACTAGACAATAATTTTAAGAGGGAGGGAGTAATTCGTATTCTAAACGTCGAACAAGCTAAAAAGTTGATAGCATTTTACTCCGTCGTATATGACTGTTCTAAATAAGGGAAAAAGTCAAAAAAATCCTTTTGTTTCTTGGTTTCCAGTGTGACAGTGAAAGAAAAGAAAAGACCGCTGTCCAAAACTACAAATTTCCCATTTTCTCATTCTCAGGGTCAAAAATCCCCACTTTTTTCTACGTCAATTTCACCCCGAAAACTACCTCCACCACCCACAACCACCACTACGAGCTTAGATCAGTCAATGGAGTTTTCCCCTCATCTCTTCTCCATATAAAACAGGAAGAATCGAATTGGAGGGGGAAATAATCTTCCGATTATAACCAGAAAGCAATATGATGAGTTATTCTCAAGTTTTTCTGCTGTTTGTAATCATCAAAATTGCCAATCTTGCTTCGGTGTTGGCCGCTGATATTCAACTTGGGGGTACCCTTTCAGCTTCCGATCCCAACTCCAAATGGGCTTCTCCGGATAGCACTTTCTCATTCACCTTCATAAATGATACTTCAGGAGCTTCTTCAGCTAAATTCGCAGCCATAGTTTACGACAACAACCCCGGTGTTGCTATCTGGGTCGCCGGCGGCGCTTCTCCTAATGGCGGCGCTGCTGATTCTACTGCCACCCTCCGGCTTATGCCGAACGGGAACCTCGAGCTCCGAAATGGGTCCTCCAATTCACTTGTCTGGGAGTCATCCACCTCTGGCCGCGGAGTTACCTCTGCTTCTCTTGATAATTCCGGTAATTTTGTTCTCAAGAATGCTACTGTTGCTAATATTTGGTCTACTTTTAGGAATCCAACTGATACCATTGTGCCCACGCAAAATTTCACAGTAAATGAAGCTTTGATAAATGGTATGTACAACTTTAGTTTGCAGCGAAATGGTAACTTGACACTGTATTGGAATAATACTATTATGTATTATAATGCTGGTTTGAATTCATCTGCTTCGAGTAATTTGAGTCTACCAAGTTTGAGTATATTGCCTATTGGGATAATTCAACTGTTTGATCCACAGCTTTCCAGCCCTTTGAATTTGGCTTATAGCAGTGATTATGCGGAGTCAGGGAATAGATTGAGGTTCGTCAAGTTAGATAATGATGGAAATTTGCGAATTTATAGCTCTGATAGAGGTAGTGGAACAAAATCGGTAAAATGGTCTGCTGTTTCTGATCAATGTCTAGTATTTGGATATTGTGGGAATATGGGAGTCTGTAGCTACAATGAAACTGGGCCGACATGCGGATGTCCGTCCCAGAATTTTGAGCTGGTTGATGCCAAGGATCCTAGGAAAGGGTGTAAGATAAAGGTGGATCTTCAGAATTGTCAAACGAATGGCACAATGCTGGAACTTGACCACACTGTGTTGTTGACCTATCCGCCTGAGTCGAAAGGAGATAATACTCAGGTTTTCTCCACTGGGTTCCAAGCTTGTAGGTCGAATTGTCTTAGTACAGCTCCTTGCCTTGGATCAACCTCATTGGCAGATGGTACTGGGTTTTGTTACCAGAAGACAACCAATTTCATCAGTGGCTACCAGTCGCCGGCAATTCCTAGCACTTCCTTCTTTAAGATTTGTGGGCAACCTGAGCCTAATCCTCCTGCTAATTCAGGTTCAGTTCTGGAAAAGAATAGCTGGAGGTTGAAACCATGGATTGTTGTCGTAGTGGTTTTGGTTACAATTCTTGGTTTGATACTTCTCGAAGTGAGTTTGTGGTGGTGGTGTTTCAGGGATAGTCCAAAATTTGGGGGATTATCTGCTCAATATGCACTTCTTGAGTACGCCTCTGGAGCTCCTGTCCAGTTCTCATATAAAGAACTGCAACGAGCAACAAAGGGGTTTAAGGATAAGCTTGGAGAAGGAGGATTTGGGGCAGTCTATAAAGGAGTTCTTGCTAACAGAACTGTTGCAGCTGTTAAGCAACTGGAGGGAATTGAGCAAGGTGAAAAGCAGTTCCGGATGGAGGTAGCCACAATAAGCAGCACCCACCATTTGAATTTGGTTAGATTGATAGGATTTTGTTCTGAAGGTCGGCATAGGCTCCTGGTGTACGAGTTCATGAAGAATGGTTCGCTCGACAAATTTCTTTTCAGTTCTGAAGAGCAATCACAAAAGATGTTGAATTGGGAGACTCGCTATAATATTGCCCTAGGAACTGCAAGGGGAATTACCTATCTTCACGAGGAGTGCCGAGATTGCATTGTGCATTGTGATATAAAGCCAGAGAATATTCTCTTAGATGAAAATTACAATGCCAAAGTGTCTGATTTCGGCCTTGCAAAGCTCATCAATCCTAAGGACCACAGGTATCGAACTTTGACAAGTGTGAGGGGTACCAGAGGGTATTTAGCTCCCGAATGGCTTGCTAATCTTCCTATAACTTCAAAATCTGATATATACAGTTATGGGATGGTATTATTGGAGATAGTGAGTGGAAGAAGGAACTTTGATGTCTCTGCGGAGACAAACAATAAAAAGTTTTCAATCTGGGCTTACGAGGAGTTTGATAAAGGTAATGCTGTGGCAATTATTGATCCGAAACTCTCTCGGAATGGCATAGACATGGAGCAAGTGATGAGGGCCATTAAGGTTAGTTTTTGGTGCATCCAAGAGCAACCATCTCAGAGACCTGTCATGGGTAAGGTGGTTCAGATGTTAGAAGGTATTACTGAGATTGGTAAACCACCTGTTCCCAAGAGTGCTCCGGAGGGGTCTATTTTTGGGAGTAGTATGACCGGTAGTAATATTAGTGCCTTTTCCACCATGGCAGCATCAGCTCCAGTTCCCTCCTCAACGTCATCTGCTCAGACTCCGCCAGTTTCATCATTAGTTTCTGGCAAGAATCCAGAGAAGGCATCTTCAGCCCTTATACAGTCGGAAACAGACAATGCATTACAATGACTTGTCTAATTCAGCTGTCAGAACTGCAATCAAGATCCGCAAGAGCCAATCTGAGGGCAGAAGAATTGGTAATTGTTTAAAATGTAGTAATACAGGATTTCTTATTTATACCTTACACAAAAGAATCTTGAGTGTACATAAGTATGCGCATGGTTTTCTAATAGAAAATAGGTAGATAATTGTTTATTGCATCTTTTAATGTGAAAATTCATTCTATACATTTTGCTGAATACACTGTCTTTTTCCTTGCTTTGGTTATTGCATCTATGAACTTGAGGTTTTAGATTGCTTGTCTGCTAGCTTCTAACGACCAGCGCAGCAACTCCTACATCAGTTGGTTCCACCTCACTGATATTAGAGTAGTGAAGTTATAAAAGGTACATGTTTAAGCTTTATAGACTTCATCAAGCTGATGCTGCTGCATTTTGTAACCAAATTAGCCGGTTTCGACTCTCGTGTATACTACTTTTTTTTTTCTTTTTCTGTTTTTTTGGAAATATTGCCTGGGGTGCGAGGATAATTTTTTCCTGTCAACCTCATAGATGATAAGTTTCTGACTTAAAGTGCACATGTTGAGATAAAACTATTTTCAGATTTACCTTCCTAAATGAGCATGTGACCTTCAAATACTTCTGAAGAAATTAACCTTCATAGATCAATTTAATAGACATCAGTTACAATAAGGTGCTCGCAAGGGGCTGAACCTTGTCTCGAAAAGCCTCAAGTTTGCCCTTTCCATAACAATACAGAACACTTCTGAAATCTCCAAGTTCCCAGAGCTTATTGAACTTGTTCCTTTCAATTCAGAAATGTACCACCCCTTTCAAAACAATAATACTAATAACATTACTGTACAATCCACTCGAATTCGAACTAATAAAATCGAATAAAATACAATGTGGAAGCTTACATTTAACACAAAAACACTTCACATTTTTATACATGATGAAAACCACAATAGGTCATTCACTATTTTCCTTGAGAGCAAAGCCAAAACAACTACCAGTCCTTGAAGAGTTCTCTCAGGATCTAATCCTCAAGCCAAAAAAATAAAAATAAATTAAATCTATCACAAGGCAATTTTGCCGCAGAATAAAAAGGCAAATACGTTAGAAGCTTGGGAAAGGGATTTGACTAATTACACACTGGAATTTTACATAATTTACAGCATTCAAGTAATTTAATTTAATTTACAAAACTGTGTTAATATGAAGTGCCTTCAGCAGAGAGGTTGCCATCTGCTTCACCAACACCTGACCCCCGGAACTTTGGCCATCTCTCCGTTCCTCAATCAAATTCTGAAGCTTATGTGGAAGATCATTTTCCACAATCAATTGCTTCGGACGAGGATGGTGCTCATAAACAGCCTAAGAAGAGAGAGAGAGAGAGAGATCAAAAGTCAGCATTTAAATTAACATATTATAACTAGAATACAGTACCTAGAAGTATAAATTGGCTTAAACCCCACATATTACATATGAACCATCCCTCTACTCCAGCATTTGGTAATATTGCCTCCGAAAGGTTTCTCAAGTGGACCAATTACACTTTAAACACGCCCTTCTTCCCTACCACCACCCCCACCCACAAACGCTGGTCCTTTCCAAGAAACACCACCAAATCAAAAAATACGGAGGGGAAAACCATTAGATAGGTATTTCAAACCTTTATTAACTTCAGCAGATTCAAGCGAGCTATAGCATCTTGATGGTCCAATCTTGATATCAACAATGGTGTCAAGCCATTGACAGCAAGCGTGGTATTTATACGAGATGATTTTCTGCATCAAATAGCAACATGTAAGTTCATAGGAGACAACTAATCCAATAATCAACATGCTAAAGCAACCAAATTGCTATAGAAGACAGAATAACAGTGAAAACGATTATCTTTTGAGTTTTGTTCAAGAAAGAGACTCGATACTTTAAGGCATGAAACTTCTGAGACTGTTGGTTCCTCCATAGTCTTAAACTCAACTCAGACACTGATTTTATGGCTCGAAGAACAAACTTGGGAGCACAAAATAGGACAACATACATAATGCACATCTAAAGCAAACCCAGAAAAATAGTAGTAAGACTATTATGATCTTATTTCAACTATCTCATAATCCCTCTTTAAATTAGTATGGTTAAGAAAAGAATCCTCAAAGGCAATATAATCATGCACAAAGAAACATATATAATGTGTTTGTTAGTCAAACTGACGATGGTACAAGAAAATGGAAAGATGGTACGAGAAAAGATGGTTAGGAACACATACGTTATAATTTTAAGGAAAGGCTCCAGAATATGCAGAAAGTGCTGCTCTGGACAATTTTCAAAAAACTTGACCAGTTTCTGTACAGCATCCTTTTTGAGTAATGCCTGTTCTACTTTCCTACTATCATTATCATGAGCCAAGCAAACAGCAATGGAGTCCAAAGCGGTGACCGACCAGAGCTCGTCTTCAAGGAGGCTCAAGTATACATCTAACCCACCATGAGCCCGTAACTGCTCCCTGGAATTACGTGAAGCATGGGCCATATCACAAAGGAGAGGCAAGGCATATTGCTTTAATGGAGAATCAGACATGATGAATTGCATCAAGTGTGGAATTATCCCATTTTCTGCTGCCTGCTCCTGCCTTCTCTTGTTTATTTTACAGAGATTGAAGAGCGCATGGAGAACCTTCAACGGCAAAGAAAATCGGATGACTGAAATATCCACGTCAAATTAAACGAGCATGCAAATGACTACTAATACGATGCGACATGCAGTTGTTGCACAATGTAGTGTAGATATATTTGGCACCAAAAGCTAAGATGCAACTTGTTCCTGAGTAAATGACTACAAAGACCAACAAATAAAAAGGAAAAATAACAACGGATTACGAAAAGGATGATTGCAGTGTCTTTGTCATGGCAGGGCTTCTATTCTTAGGCACTGAACATAGAAGCGGCACTTTTTTCGGTCCTTTTTTTGCAGCCACAAAACTTAAAGGATTTGGTCTTCAAACAAAATGTGTCAGGCACTCAGGCTTCGTGAAAGTAAAAAAGGACTGGCTACAATAGTGAAGTCGGATGCCAGTTAGCTTATTTAATACTAATGGGAAATAAGTTTCCAGGACAAAATTAGTAGACAAAAAAAAAGGGAAAAGGGGACCCAAAAAGAAAACAGAGACTACGAAGGCTGGATCAATAATTTTAGAAAGAATGGGACAAAAATATGCTCAGTAATTTCGTAGAAATGAGTGCAAAAAAATCCAGCAAGACAAACTACAAAGCATTCTAATTTTTTATTCAGACCAAAAAAAAGGCACAATAGTCACAAAAGCGATTGAGATCGAGGAAACTCAGGTCAGTTTATAGAACAAATGAGGCAGCTACAAAGTGTCAAGCAGATAGTGAAGAACATGGTCATGTTCCAATGAAAATGGGATAGGCTACTACAATTCACAGTAGCACAAATAACTCTTGGCTAAACTAAGAGATGACCCTATAGCATTTAAACACTATTAGCTTCAGAAAAGGCCTACAGTGTACATAAAGAACATGCATCCTCAACAAATTAGCCTTTAACCCACTTGTGGAATTGGCTATATGGATCATATGCATTCTCCACTGGGCTGAGTACTGAACAAATGTGGAAGCCCTTACCTCGTTGTGTATCTGAGAAACAAGAGGACCCTCCTTGAGATCAAGATTTGGGATCAAGTACTTTATGGCATCTGCTCGCTGAAGATGTTCTAAGCAGTGTGGATCCATGGAAAGATGATTGATGCATTTCAGCAACTATGTAAAGAAAGAGACAAATGATCACAGAAAACCCAAGTTAGAAAGAGAAGCCTCAACAGTGTGGAAAGAGAAAACTCAATGTGAACAATTAAATCAGTTACTGTTTTTACCTTCAAGAGAATAGGGGGCTCTATTTTATTGAACATCTGGAAAAGACGACTAAGCAAACTCTGACTGCACATGTATGATTTCACAGTTGTGTCTGCTCTAGCAAACTCAAGAAGAAGATCTGCCACTTTTTCCAGATATTCCCTTGCCACATCTGCATTCCAAGGTGACACCATATGAGACAGCAACCCAGAAGACGTGGCACTCCCTGGTCTAGCATTTAGAACCCCAGATCCAGATAAAACCCCAGATGCAGTCTGAGATGCAAGCCCAGAAGTAGAAGCAAATCCATCATTTGATGTTTGTGGCCCGACCTTCTTAGTTGCTACTTTCTGCGAATTCCTGGGTAATGACTCCAAGTTACTGTTATCCCTCCCACGCCCAGAGACCTCTACACAACCAAGAGTGATTCATTAACATTTTGCCATGGAACATGAACCAAATTAACAAAAACAAGGAAAAGGACTCCTAGCTGCCAATTAAGATATCTGACACCCCATTCTTAATTCATGGGAAGGAACAATAGTCTACAATACACAAGTAAGCTCTCAGTTTCGTTTCTAAGTAGCAGATATCTTTATAACAGCTGAAACAAACAACCATAATTCCAGTACCTGCAAACTCAGCCATCAAGAACTCCATCCCATTTGATTTCTTCTCATTAGATCCATGTAAAAGAGGAAGTATGCTTTCATGTTTCTCGAATCCAGTGAGATGTCGTACATACTCAAGCTGTCCAGAAAAATGACGGGATGGGGGCTCCTTGTCCAGTAGACTTAGGAGGGGGCGCACATTCTCTTGCTGGATTGTAGTTGCAGGAGAAATTCCAGCTGATGCACCCTCGGCAGATTTCCGAGGCCGATCCACAGATATTCCATTTGCAGTACTAGCGCCTCTTTGCAATCTTTGTTCAAGATCAATACGAGACGGGTCATTTTTCCATCTGTCCATGCCCTCTCTATCCCTCGAATTAGCTGCAGGAATTTCTCTCGGCCCTGCATTCGTTACTTTGTCAAAAGATACTGAATCTAACACTTTAGAACTGCCTGAAGCTTCTGCAGGAGAGTTGCCTGACTGATGCCTTTCTGGATCAACAGAAAAGAATCTTGAATCAGGTGAATGTGAAACTGACGAGCGTGGCATTTCCTGGGTTCCAGCCGGTAATATATGATCCACAGCTCCAAGCCTGACTTTAAAGTGATCCATTGGATCAATCCCATAAGCTGCAGGTTCACTTTGTAACATTGAAGGATCCAATGGACCAGAACGTGGTCGTGGAACCAAAATATCTGGTGGCAGACCACCACCCGCAGATATAGAAGCTAGACGAGTCGCCTCATTCAAACTATAAAGAGTGTTGATGAGCCTAAGTAATATGCCATTTTTTGCTGCTATACGACAAAAGTCATTTCTAGGGGTTGACCGTTGAAGCTTAAATACCTGCCACATGCCATCAATAGCCAGATGAACCATTTCCCTGTATTCCCACAAAAAAAATATTTAAAATTAGCAAATGCCTTATTGGCCAGTCTAAAAGAGTATATAATCACAGAAGAAAGTGTGCATAGTGAATTGGTTCTATGCATTAAATTGCTGTTAAAACAATACGAGCATAGCCTGGATCAGAGGCAACTTCTGTAAGTTAAGACCAGCACAATGATAGACATCCCATTTGTCATAGGCAGCTTCTCACATATAATAAGATGTTCTCAACATGCCAGGGATAACATTGTTTTTGGACTACATACGGAAACCAACAATTGGTAAAGTCAACAAGGTTACTACCTTTGGAAACTTAAGGGGAAAGTGAAAATAAGAAGTCATTTGAATGTGAGGAGACATGCCACTTACTTTGATGGGATATGAAAAAGAAAGAAATAGGGTGACATTTAAACTCCTCGCAGATTAAATCCCATACCAGTTTTTCCGTGTTTAGACTTCTATGCTTAAACTCCTTAAACAGTTCCGAGCCACCCTTATATTATATCCTGCAGATATCCTTATCCATGGTTCAAGTTTAAATTTGCACCAATAATTCTAATTGGCTCTTTTGCTGGATACTTAAATGGGGCCACTGGTAATGATACATATCTACATACAAAATACATAGGTAGTAACCCATTTCCTTACCTTGATCAAGTTCTAAAGCCAGGAATCAATTCCTTTTTACAGCAATAAAATGAACACTTCCATATTAATGGTTTTATTTACAAAAAACCTGTACATTTTAATTACTCAAACAGCCGAAATTCTCTCCTCCAAAAAGGGGTAATTTACAGTCATTATGAATGCAAAATTTGTCGGGCTTTCAGGTTTTACAGTTCATCTACATAACCATTGAAGTAAAGTGACCATGAACAGGTAAAAGCAATATATGTAACGGTGCAAGCATACACATATAGCTGTTTAAGCATCAGGTCCACCAAATCAAATTCTTCAATGTGTCTCAGACTCCTCGAAGTCAAAAACTTTTACAACAGGAATAATCCCTAGACAATAAAAGCCTCCTTAAGCAGCTAGTATCCACTAACGTCTAAGGCCGAGGTCGATTTCATTAAAACTTGAGTACTTTTATTAACTACATTACCGGATATTCACAAAAATATAGAAGTAATCCAGAAATTTAAAAGCACTATTACAAGCTCATTACATTGGGGGAGGGTGTTGCTCTTGTATAAAATATATGCAATTTTTTCAAAAAGGGAAGTACACACCTATATTTTGCATAATCAGCCTCCAGAAAACCCACCAAAACTGGTATCCCACGGCAAGCAATAAACATCTGTAACGTCAAAGAGCTGCACAGGAATTGAACACTCAAATTTTTGTTCATGCTGCATATGCCAAGAGGGGAAGACTGGAAAAAAACTTTACCTGGACTGGCAAAGTTGCTGCAGGAAAAAAGCTGCTTCCATGCGAACTTCTCGAGGACGATCAGGTACGGCAAAGCTCATAACAACAGGAATCTGAAATCAATAAAATTGAACAGTGAGTAAATGCATATCACAATGACGAAAGCACATACACAATTAAGAATTTTTCATACACAAATCAGAATTTTTCAGTCTTTCCTCCCTTTATAACAATAGTGCTGAACCCAAACAACCAGAAATAGATCGGACAGAGCAAAAAAACAGCAGATGCATCAAGATATATTTCTTATAGACCATGAAAATAATGAGCAAGGACGGGGCCATTTTGCCTAGATATCATCGTGAAAGTGCTAACGAAGTTGGCTTTTGCAAACATATATGCCAGTCTTTATGCAACATTGACAGCTAAAGAAATGTTTTACAATAATGAGAGGAATCTACTGGAAAACATACAGCACAGATTACTTAGAATCTGGCAAAAATTGATCAGATCAGTGCATCAGAACAAAGAATTACATCCAGATGGATTATAATAATGAATCATCACAAATCCAATAACTTTTCGGCAAAAGATAGAATAATATCACTCACAAGGCCCACAAGACAGGCATTCTCTTGAAAGTCTGTGTTATCTTTGATTATCTGGTTAAGGAGTTGCAATACAGAACATGTAACCTGAAATCAATAGGATACGTCAAGAAGTTTTTAAAAGGGTATCGACAATTACTTTCAAAAACAAGTCTGTTCGATAACCAAAAGAATGAAGCATAAACCATACCCGCGATTTTGGAACTTCAAGTAATTCCAAAAGAGGAAGCAAACCATGCTGAGTAACAAAGACAATTTTCTGCTCAGGCCTTTGATGGAAGAATGCAGTTAACTTCTGACAAGTGGATACGATAACCTCTTCTGGTTCATCTGGTCTTAAGGATGACACTAGCTTGCCAAACTCAACAGCCTACAAAGATAAGCGGTTAATGAAAACTGCCTCATTTCTTATTTACTTTCAACGACAATGGTGCAGGCATGCAAGGTTTGCTAGAGCATCAAAAAATGGTTCATCAGCATGGCCTTATGTAAAACAGCATAGATTAAAAAGTGCCCTCTAAAAAATATATAACTAATATCCCTCCTTAAGAATCTAAGACCTGTACCCAAAATGGTCCTGTTCCAGAGGAAAAGTGTCAGGTGACTACATAAGATTACTACGCGTACATTGTTATGTACCAGATACTAATAAACTAGGCAAATCAACAAGAGCAACACACTATATTTCCAAAGTACATGTAACACTATTTGTACAACAAACTTTTTTTTTAAGAGACAACGAACAATTTAATTTGATTAAAATAATTATTTCTTATCATATACAGAGTAAGCAGGAATTCATCATCAGATTACTCCATGTTTCCCAAAATCCAAACTTGATGCTGAGAAACAACAATTCGAAAAACAGGACAAAAAAATACTAGCTTGGTAAAGATAGACTCAAATCCATAACTGACCAATAGTTTCTCATCATAGTTCTTCCATGGAGAGGGGACATTTATTACTTAAAAAAAAAAAATCAAGCAAACAAAGTGAAGCATTTCCAACGAGCCTGAAATTGGAATAATATCATTTTAACCTTTTCATCACACCAGTAACACAGAGGAAAATTCAGACGGATGTCTCATTAAGCAGAGTAACAAGTGATAAGGACTACAAGGCTTTGTTGCTGTGGAAGTTATAAACGCAACCACAAACTATTTCATCCGATGAATGTCCCATAAAGCCACCAGACAATCATGGTGAGGAAAAAATCTCCCATACTTGAACATTAACGCAGTCTTAACACGAACTAAATGAGTGTTACAAATGAACACATAATTTCGTTTTATCCTATCACCTTCATAAGTACATTGTACATTAGCAGAGAAAGGTAACTCCTACCAAGCTTCAAATGAGCTCAATACAGTTAGAGAAGAAATGAAAAATACCTGCAGGTGAAAAAGATTTTCTGCTGGCAACTTATCATCAAAACCCTGAGAAACAAAATTGCAGAAGGAACAAGATTAAGGATGAAACTTAAATAGCTATAGTAAAAAATTAAGAGATGATCAAAGCATACCAAACCATCCATGTCAATAACATCATCCTTTAGAACACCTATCATCAGACGAAGCAGATCACCCCCACTTGCTTGCCCAGAATCATTCTCCATTTTCTGAGCAATTGTAGCTCGCAATTTTGTAGCTAAATCATTCTTCCCCGTATCAGTATACACACTAGCCTGATTTACATTTGATGAAGAAGCAGAAGTTGAGGCTTCAGCAGTGCGATCCACCAAATTATTGTCAAGTGGATGAAACAGGTCATCTAAGGAGGCATCTCCAGGAGTATCACTGAATCTGCTAAGCTCATTTTCACTGGAGAACAATGATGCCTTAATCGTCTGCACAATTAATCATAAATCAGACATCCATAAAAAAGAATTAAATCTTTTCATCTTGATCCCAGATAACATGATCGCAAATGGAAAGCAAAGAAAAACAAAAAACAAACAGAAAATGAAAAAACCAATATCTTATGCCAGGAAAAAGGGGGGGTCGGAGAGAAAAGGTGGGATCTGTGCAAACTATATCATGCTTGAATCCCTTCCAAGTAAGACACAAGCAAAGAAAGGTTTGATTCCTATGACAGGCATCTCAAAAGTTCAGCACCTACCTCCCATCGACTTCTGCTATACTAGATTCAAAGGTAATGACATCTTTACAACTTTATGCCAATTATAAGTCTTCCAGAACCTCATCATGGACTTAATTTCCATTGCAAACTGCTCACGGTTAAAGATTTAATATACGAATCTCTTCTTCAATAGTGTTTCCACAAGCAAACTGGTAATAGCTTCTGACATTTGCAATACATGGAACACAGAAATACAAACTTTCTCCCACTCAAGCACAAGCACATCTGCCTCCTACATACCCCAACACCACTAAGGCATCTTCAAATTGTAGATGGGGTTCCAAAAATCAAAGACTATTCAAGATTAGGTCCCCAGCTACCTAATCCACAAAACTTGATTTAAAAATACTGCATTCCCCTCTATCAGCATTTTAGTCTTGTTTTACTATAAGAATGGAAGTTTTGGGTGTTGATGAAATTTAACAGCTATCCAGAGAATTAGTCACAGGATAAAATGCGAACTTGGATTTAACTGATGAATGACAAGAAACAACAACTATATTAGTGTTAAATCGTATCACTAAATCATGTTTCAGGAGCATCTTGATAGAGTACAATTCTAGCATTACTTTTCTCGAGTAAAAGAAAAGGCCAAACTTATAAAACTTATAATTATTTTCAACTACATGAGATGTATATGGACGTTAAATGCATCATTCTCACAACTTACTTTTCACAATGACGAAGCAAGTAAAGAGTGATTTAGTAGTAATCTTTTAGATAATGCATTCAGAATATAAAACCACAGCAAACCAAAAATAGCTGAAAAAAAGGATATAAAATGGACATTCTTCCCAAAAAAATGGAGACATCGATCATTAAGTGTTTTCCAAAAAATACTTTTTGGAAATAGTTTATTTGATTGTAATTGGAAAATTCTTTATGAAAAAGCATTGTGGAGACCTCTGGTCCATATAGTTGACCCCAGATAGTGAGATAAAGGTACAGTTGTAGTTGTTGCTGTATGATGGAAACACTAATCGGTATCAAATAAAACTCTACCTTTCTGGAAGAAGATTCCTGGCTCTTTCCTCCAAATGCAAATGAATCATTATCACCATGCACATTACTTCCCTCTTCCTCAGACTTTTTTGATACAACATCCTTTCCTTTCAATGCGGAAGATTCCAAATCACCATTGATGCACACTTTATCCTGCTCAGAAAAATGGGATGAATCATGGTGCTCTTTCAAGTTATAGACAACATCATCAGCTATAGCATGTCCATTTGAGTTTTTCTCCACAGCATTATTTTCGTGGATGGCTAAGGTGGGCACTTGATCTGATAAATCTTCATCAGTGCCATCTGCTCTTTCCTCGGTGTCAACACCACCAAATCCATCACCATTTAATGATTCGCTCACCTCACCTTCTTCTGTTAGCAACTCCTTTCTAGAGCCCTGAAACAAAAGGTAAACATAAAGCTTGCTATTCTTGATTACTTGATTATCCTGTGATGTCCCAGCATGTATATTTCAGAGGCAAAACGAATCTGAATATGATACAGTTCAGATCAATTAGAGCGTTTACTTTCTCAGATGAAAGACCTTCAGAAGCATGCTGTTCATCTCCATTGGATAATTCCGCATCAACTGAACCATCTTCCTCAATGTTCCTAAGGACATAATTACGTCTCATTTAATTTAGGCACTTAAACAGCCATGTCTGAAAGCTGGAGTACTCGAGATTCAAATTTAAAGACTGAATTTAGATCAACACAAGTGCAAAACAATCGAAACTATACGTTAAGTCCATTAAGTTCTACAGCATAAAAATTACAAAATAAAATGCACAATGCATCCAGAAAGTTAATATGCTCAACATGTTAGATAACAAAATACTTGAATTCAACTATTTCACGGGATATAGACGAGCATAACTCATAAATTCTAACTCAAATCAAGTCACTTTTGGTGCACAACAGGAGACATTTGAGCCCAGTTTTCTACCAGTTATCCTGTTTCAGAAATTAACATGTAGGTTTACAAGATGCCACATAATGAAGGAAAGGTCTCACAGGTACAACAAAAAAGTTCTTAATAAGATGTTTAGCCAATGGCCACATGAATTATTTGAGGAAGAAAATGAAATGGAAACCGTGCAAGAATTTTTAGAAACCTTGGAAGGTGGGATGTTTTACATCTTCCCAATTTAGATAAAGAAGAACATCAGAACCGTGCTTCTATATTAAACTTTTAGTTTCCACAATAATAACTTAAAAAGCGCAACACTACATCATTCTTTCAATCTAATCTTCTTCACTCTTTTGCTTCTTTTCTAGCAACGTCTAGAAATAGGAGAGACAGTTTAAGCTGCAGGCATCCCCTTTCACTTTCCAAAAACTGTCTTTAACCTAACTACCCAGATATTCTAGCTTTGCAAAAAACTAACTCTTCAAAACAGCCTCACAAGTGAAATAGATGCAAATGCATTCAAAGATGTGGAAGGGGTTCTTATTCAATAGATGAGACAAAGGAAACATTTCACCTTATTGCATCACTACCCATATTAAATAAACTACCTTTAACTTAAATGTCATGACCAATGTATGACACTTCATTAAGATTTATTTCAAAGGAAGGACAATATCCAAAGCTAACTTGAGGTAATAATGTCCCAATTGAACAAAGAAAAAAGTAAACAGAAAAGGACAAAAAAGTGCTCTCTTAACTAACTACAAATACAATGAAGATACATCAAGAGTCTAACTCCGAAATCCCATAATTGTAGTTAGCCAATTCACCAACCACTACTATCACATCCTTATCAGCTTTTTACTTTTCCTACCTTCATATGTTGACTCAATCCCTTTCCCCTCAATTCCCCTTTACCATGGACGCTGCCAACCCCTCTCCCTTCCCTGCACCAGCATCTGTTTTTCCTATTTGGAATAATCTTGATTCAATGATAATTCCAAAAACTAAAAGGCTGTTCCAACAAATTTCAGTCCCTCCATAATTATTTTTTAATGACGAAGTTTTCAAACTGGTTCCTCCAACGGGTACAGTGATGAACACTTAAGTGTAAAAGAAAGAAGATGTATCCTTGAAACACACCAGGGGTGAACTCAATTAAGGTAAAAAATAATCATCAAATAACCTGATCGTTCCACTATGACGGAGAGAAGATTGGAGGGCCCGTCTTGAATTTTGAATCCAAGGATGAGAAAGTAAGGTCTTTGCATCCGGCCTTTGTCTAGCATCCTGAAATTTTATATTTAATGTCAACGGCATAGTTCAAAAATACTTCAACTGATGCCTTCGCTCACTCAGTTTCTTATTTTTTTAGTTGGAAATAATCTATCAATCTAAGCAAGTAATGGCTAGAATCAATTGAGGGAAGTGACTAAACAATTTAATGACAGTACATAGGTTAAACAGCCACGACTTTCTTACAACTGACCTTCTTAAAGCACTGACGTAGAAAGTCAGTAATCGCAGGAGATAAACTATCTGGTATAGGAGGATGTGCATCCTGAAAATATGACACCAAACCAAAGAAAAATCACAACAAATAGACATTTCCGGAGCAAAACTCATGACTTTTTTTGTCAGATTATCAAGAAGCAATAACAGCACCAAAACACCACTATCATTTTCAAAGCAAGAAGCAAAAACATCTTGACAGTCAAAGAATTGATTTTACCATCATTACAGCAAAGAAAATCATAGAATATACTAAGAACCTGCACAATCCGAAAGAGAGCAGGCATTGGCTGGAGGTCGTAATAAGGGGGTACACAAGTAAGAAGCTCAATGACTGTACAGCCAACACTCCAAATGTCTGATGCAGCACACACTCCAGACATTTCAATCACCTGAAACATGAAGGATGGACATTTTGATTGTTTTCAATCAGGGTTTTGGCTAACAATCACAATACACAAGATGATATTCTGCTTAATTTACAGGAAAATTCCTCAAAAAAAGTGCTTATCATTCTAAATTGTGCAACTCGGCAAGCATGAAACTATACTTTGAATTAGTCTGTCAGTATCCTTCGGATAAGACTAACCAATCAATTTTCTGTCAAGTAAACTTACAACATGCTACAATATTCAGATAGCACACCTAGCAGACAAATCTGCCCAACAAGGCATTTCAATTCTGTGTAAGAACCAAATGTAATCTTTGCAAGTCTTCAATCTATCACAGAAGTCTAGCTTGAATCTCAAGAAACAGAAAGTCTCAGCTCCTCACAGGAGCATTCCCTTTCTCCAAACGTGTAATATAGAGATGCTACTCTGAAAACTGATATGCATGTAGAGAGTGGATCATGAGTTATAGTACCATAGCTTTCTACTGAATCAAAATTGAATCCATCACAATGAACAGTTATTGGAGTTGAAACCAAAACAATTCTCATTTACTACCTAAACAGGCCATTGTTAACAACAAACACGAAAAACTGGATGATGGAAAAAAGGAGGTCAAGAACCTACTAGCCCAAAAATCAAAACCGAGCGAAGTACCTCAGGGGCCATCCAGTAGGGAGTCCCAACAACTGAATGTGTATTAACATCAGCCTCTGTCAGTTTGGTTGCAACTCCAAAATCAGCGAGTTTCACAAGACCCTGAAAGCACAGGTCAAAGACATATCATATCAAACTACATTGAAACTAAGAACCACACACTTGTGACATATGCTCAAGAGGAATCTTAAGCACAAAATAGCAAGAGTACACAGAAAACATGATGAACATGCAAATTCATTAAAAGTACATAAATCCAACAGGAAAAGAAAAATAATGCAGTAAAGAGATAAACAAAGGAATACTACAAAGAAAACTGAAGGTACCTCTTTAGTGGTCAAAATATTTGCACCCTTGATATCACGGTGAATGACACCTTGTTCGTGTAGATACACTAATCCTTCCAAAACCTATTTTAGAAAGGAAAATCAATTCTAGTTCTACGCAACCATCAAAATAGATAGTGTTTAAAGATATACTTGCTTCAAACCTGAGATATATAAACAGCCACCAATGACTCCGGAAATGGCCCAAATTTGTTGGGCTTGATTATGTTGGCAAGTGAACCATTCTCCACGTATCTTTAAAAGGGGTGAAAGAAAAGCTCTATAAAATTAGAAATGTCTTAAAAATAGCAGAAATTTCTAAAGAAAACAATTAAAGAAGTAGAAAACCATGAAGTAAATTTTTCATGTTTACTTACTCAAGTATAATATGAAGATGAGTCTTCGTCTTCAAAGATCCCAAATATTTCACAATATTTTTATGGTTCAAATTCTGAAATGCAACAGAGAGAAAAATGTGAAATTAAGTTAATGCAGCAATCAGAGATGTTGACGCTGCAGAAAAATAGGACAGTTTTGTCCGACATGTGCAGTAGGGATATCCAACATTCTCTATGGTTATGCTACAAACTTTCCTCAATAATTTAGAGACAATTTTAATGCAAAGGAAAACTCATACGCACAACATTAAGGTATTCTTCTGTAAATGTGAAAAAAAGTACATGCCAAATGCACATTTGTGAAATAAATCCAGGGTAGATGTTAAAGAAGCAGAAATATTGTACCTTAAGCAGATCGATCTCTTGCTGCACCAACAATACGTCCAACCCACAAAAAATATCCAATAGCAAAAAATTAGTAAGTCTAACAAGTGACAAAAAAGAATCCATCAACAGCTAGATTAAAAATATCAAGAATCACCAAGCCGATTTCCCTTGTCAAAAAGTAGAAGTTCCAAATGTCATGCATACAGTTTGTCATATTCACATAGCATGCGTAATTTTGATTGCAATCAAAATAGTGGTGGAAAAGTTTTCAACTGCCAGAAGCAACTCCTTTTTCTTTTACGAATTTCTAAAGGAGACTTTTATTAATAGTGCAAAAATCTAAAGTAACAAGGCAAAGGAAAACCAAAGCATGGCAGAGGGAGAGAGAAGCGAAGGGAGGGAGAATGCGAAAGAGAGAATATCAATTGCAAAGTGGACAAGCAATGTCAAACGAAAAGAGGAAAATGAAAATCACTACTTTCAAAGTAATATCAGGTTTTCCTCAGCGCAAATTATACATTAGATGCATGCCTAAATACTCTAATTGGCCATAATTTAACTCTACATAAAATGAATCATGGCGTCACGATATATCTTATCGCCTAAGCAACGGCTTAAAAATCTCCACCCACCCCCATTTTTTTAGCCATTAAGACGCCTCAAACAACAAAAGAAATAGATGCCAGGAATTTAAGATGAAAAAGATACCATAATGATGTTGAGGTCTTCCTGCGCAATGTTCTCCAAAGAGACTTGCTTAATTGCAACAAAATCTCCATTCTCCAAATCCAAGCCTTTATACACTCGTCCATATGCTCCTTTTCCAATTTCATCGCCAAGCATCTTCATCAACCGTGAATAAAACAGGTAAGTAAAACAATAAAGCACTGCATCCCAATGATCAAAACTCCAAAATTCCCAAAATTCACAAGACTTTGCAAAAACCCAGGGCTTCAGACTTAAAAGAAGTCGAAGTGCTACTCAAATTATAGTTCATTTCGAAACGAAATTTTACAAATACATATAATGCGTTACAAAAATCCGTCCATAGACCACCATAATTAGGATGAACGAAGCAGAAACGCCACATCATTTACAAACCAAAAGCCTTCAGCATTCAAATAAACCACATTGATAATAACAATTAAACAATAGCAAATTAACCTGAAATTTGGGGGGTACAAAATCTTACATATTTGTTGTCAAGGGTCTTGGACTTATGAAAAGCCGTCGTCGCAGCTTGTCGAGACATTTTCGCTGCTTCCACTATCTACGACGCTGATCGTGCTTGATTTGAGTATGGAAACCCTAGGCTGGATTTTGGAGCATTTTTTCAATTTGCCGACGGGATTACGGGAATGAAGAAGAACGACAAAGAAAAAAAAAAAAAAAGCACAGAGCTCTTCACAGTATGCTTGGTTTATTTTTTTTCTTTTTCTTTTTTTTTTTTTTTTGTGTTTCTTTTAGGAAGTTTGATTTCTTATTCTTTTTCTTTTCTTATACAAATTTTTTTAATTCTCGGTGACACTTTTTTTGTAATAATCACAATAACACATTTCAATTTTTTTTCTTATAATTTATATGATTGTGTTAATATAAATTCTTTATAATCATTTTCGAGCTTATATAATTAGAACCAACGATTTATTTTTTTTGCGTTAGGATTTATTCATTTTAATTTTCATAATTAAAAAATTCAATAAAAATAATCAAAATTCATAAAAAATAAAATATTAATATAAAAAATAAAATAAGAATATGAAAATTATTTATATTAAAAATATGTGATTGTGATATATGTATTCCATACACGTGAGTGAAATAAAAAATAATAATAATAATAATAATAATAATAACTTCAGCATATTGATTCCTTCAGAAAACTCACATGAAGAGATGTTGAGCTAACAAAAGAAAAAACATGCATTCAGACTTGAACATATATATACTCTTTCTGTCCCACAAAAATAGTCCAGTTTCAAAAAGTATAACTTTTTTATTTTAGTCAACCCTCTCAAGGTACAACTCATTTTTGTCGTTATATTCCCAATTGTACCCCCACGTTCATCTAACTGCAGCAAAAATACCGTCGATTGTCGATCACCACCAGCAACGGCCAACCACCGCATCAGGGATCGCAACCAGCTGTCACATCCGTTTTCCCGTTCTGGGGTTAGACCGTCCCTTTCCCACGTTTGTGTGGTTTGCTGCCAAACGGATTGTTTCCACAACCGGAATAAGGAACGGAACGTTCTAGAGCATGCTGAAAAACTCGGGTCAAGTCCACACGGAATTGGAATTCTCTGAAAGCAACTGGGCTTTGCTGGAAATGTGGGGGGGCTTCCCGAGAGTTTCTGGAACCTTCCCGAGGTTTGCTAGGTCGGCCGGGAACGGGCTGGAGAATTCTAGAATTCTTTGAAATTCAACACTTAGAATATTTTATGTATAGAATTCCCTAGAAACTTGTATATTTTAATACTTGTATAGAATTAGAATTCTATGGACTTGGGGACTTAGTCTATAAATACCCCAAGCCTTTCTCATTTGTATCCATCCTTTGTTTGAGTGAAACATTCTCAAGCATACTTCAAGCTCTCCGTTCTTTCTTTGTGCCTACATTGTTCTTAAGTTTTTTTTTGTCTATGTTCTTTGGGGCTTTGCCTAGCTTTACACGAATTGTGGGTCTTAAGGCTGAGCTAGCACGTTCTCGTTGGTTGTTTAAGTGCTAGTGCCGCACGGTCGTTACTTGGAAGAAGTAAGCCCCTGACAGTTGGTATCAGAGCCTCGGCTCGATACTTAGTGTGCTACATCGTCTACGCTTCCGTTTATTGGTTTTCTTTCGTGCATAAGCTATGTCTAACCCTTCGGAGGTCGTTCAAGGGTCGAGGCTTGAGGGGGATCACGTTTCCCGCGAGGTGGAGAGGGCCACCCGCAAAGGAAGCCGCAAGGAGAAGTCGTTCGTTAGGGAGCCGATGGTGGAATTCGAGAAACGACTTGCCAAGCTAAAGCTTGCTGTGGCCGACCACCAAGACCGTTGGGACGAGCACCCTGAGGTGGTAACGGGGGTCGTCGAAGCTCGCATGGAGCGATTCGCGGGTGAATTGCAAGAGGTCATGCAGCAAATAAAGGACGACATGCTAGGGACGCTCAACGAGATGGTGAAACGTTGCAACAAGTCAAAGGAGGAAAGCCTTACTCGTGTTGCCACCCTCCAAGACGACGTTGGCCGACTCATGGGAGAGTTGGAGGCTTCTCGGGCATAATCGGTGCGCCTAAAGGCACGGTTGGATGCAATGGTCGTGCATGGGACAACCGGGGCCGTGGGGACGGTTCCAAAGCTTGAAGCGCCCAAGCCGGACGAGTACAAGGGCAGCCGTCGCTTCAGGGATGTAGAAAACTTTCTCTACAGCATGGAACGGTACTTTGGGGCTATAAATATCATGGACGACTCGGTAAGACTCTTCCAAGCCTCTCTTTATCTTAAAGATAGTGCTTTATCATGGTGGAAACGTATGATGAAACCCGTGGGGGACGGAAACTCGATCTTCACCAAGTGGGACGGTTTTAAGGAAGAGTTTAGAAAATATTTCCTACCCGTGGATGCGGAGGATGAAGCCCGGGCCAAGTTTCGCCGTTTGCACCATAGGGAAGGCCAAATCCGGGAATACGTTAAGGAATTTTCGGATTTGATGCTTGAGGCGTTCTTTACTTTCATGGACGGTCTCAACCGTTGGGCCAAACTTGAGCTACAACAGAGGGAAGTCCAGGACATCGATCGGGGGTTAAAGGTGGCCGAGTCGCTTGTTGAGTTCTAAAAGAAGGATAGCTCCAAGGACAAGGGCAAGAAGCCATTCCAAGGCAAAGGCAGGGGAGACAAAGGGAAGTCTTCCACACCCGCGAAACCGGCAACCGACTCTACAAAGCCGTCTTCGAGCAAAGAGACCAAGGGGGACAAGCCGAAGAAGTTCCAAGGGTGTTTCTTGTGCGGGGAGCACACATGGCATGTGATTGCCCGTCTCGTTCGAAGTTAACAGCATTGGCGCAAGGTTTGTGCCAAGAAGAGGAGAAACGGGTAGCTTGCATGAAACGGCTAGACGTCGTGCATTCCAAGGCCGAGACACGTCAAGGCCGTCTCTACGTGGAGGCATCGTTCGCTAACGGGTCTAGATGGGGCATTCTAGACACGGGGGCCGACACGAGTTATCTCACGGAAGAGGTAGCCCGTTCGCTTGGAGTCAAGTGGACACCTAGCAACGGCCGTTTTAAGGGCGTGAATGGCGAATGGACGGGTCTTGTAGGCGAATCTAGGGACGTGCCTCTTAAAATCGGCAACTGGTCAGGTACGGCTAATTTCTCCATTGCACCTATGGATAATTACGGTCTTGTGTTTGGCATGGAATTTCTAGACCAGGTGAAGCCGATCATCGTGCCTAGCAACGACACGCTGGTGATCCTCCAAGGCGAGAAGCCTTGTGTGGTATGGTTTAGGCGGAAAAATGAGATTAGCCCTTCCTAGCTGAACAAGGGACTAAAACGGGGTGAACACACCTTTGCTGCCATGGTGTTTGAGGAGGAACCATGCACAGAGGAGCCGGCAAAGGAGGAACAAATCCTGCCTCCCATAGAACGAGTCCTTGTCGAGTTCAAGGACGTTATGCCCGGTGAGTTGCCCAAGGGTCTTCTACCAAGAAGGGAGATTGGTCATGCTATCGAGTTGGTGGATGGGGCGAAACCGATAGCCAAGGTGTCTTATCGTATGTCCCCTAGCGAACTAGAGGAACCCAAGGTGCAAATCAAGGAGCTACTTGAATCAGGTCACGCACGGCCGTCCAAGAGCCCTTGGGGCGCACCAGCTTTGTTTCAACACAAGAAGGATGGGACACTTCGACTATGCATCGACTATCGGGCATTGAACAAGCTGACCGTGAAGGACAAGTACCCTATTCCACTTATAGCGGACTTGTTTGATCGGTTGCAACGGGCGTGGATCTTTTCTAAGCTGGACTTGTGGAAGGGATACTATCAAGTCCGTATAGCACCCGGTGATGAACCGAAAACGGCCATGGTGACGAGGTATGGCTCTTATGAGTTTTTTGTTATGTCGTTCGGTTTAACTAACGCCCCAGCCACGTTTTGCACCTTGATGCAACGCGTGCTAGCCAATTTCATTGACAAGTTTGTTGTAGTATACTTGGACGACATCGTTATCTATAGTAACACAATGAAGGAGCATGTGGAGCATCTTAGAGCTGTTTTCCAAATCCTTAGGTAAAACCAACTCTATGTTAAAAGGGAGAAGTGTTCCTTCGACCTTGAGGAGGTGTCGTTCTTGGGACATATCATCAGTGGGGGCAAAGTACGCATGGATCCGCCAAAATCAAGGCTATCGTGGAATGGGAGGCACCCACGAAGCCAATTGATCTGAGATCGTTCTTGGGGCTTGTTAATTATATCGGCGGTTTATTGAAGGGCACTCCGCCATAGCCGCTCCATTAACGGATCTCTTGAAAAAGGGGCAAGCTTGGTGTTGGACACCAAAACACCAAACAGAGTTCGAGGCTTTAAAGGACGCCGTCACTCGAGAGCCAGTCCTAGCTCTCCCTAATTTTGAGAAACTGTTCGAGGTGTGCACGGACGCTTCGGACTTCGCCATTGGGGGCGTTCTCATGCAAGATGTTCACCCGATCGCCTATGAAAGCCGCAAGTTGAACGAGACCGAAAAAAGGTGGCCGACGCACGAGAAGGAGATGTTGGCTATAGTTCACTGCTTTAGAGTTTGAGAGCATTACCTGAAGGCCGCCACACCGTTCAAGATCAAGACGGACAATCGGGCAGTGAGCTACCATCAAAGCCAACCTAAGCTTTCAAGCAAGCAAGCACGTTGGTTGGACTTCTTGGCCGAGTTTAAATACGAGCTTGAGTATAGCCCGGGGAAGACTAACCACGTGGCCTACGCCCTAAGCCGAAAGACGTGTCTTGCACCAATCTTTAGCATACCCGAGGGGACGTTAGTTGATCGCATCAAGAAGGGTCTTGAGCACGACCGTCAAGCCCAAAGATTCACGGAGCTCGTGAAGGAAGGCAAGACAATGCGGTTCTGGCTTGAGGATGGGATACTTTATGCCAAAGGGAACCGTTTGTACGTGCCCGCATGGGATGGACTTAGAAGGGAGATTCTAAGGGATTGCCATGATAGCCGTTATGCGGGTCACCGAGGTACGCATTGCACACTTGCCTTAGTCCATGAACGGTTCTATTGGCCTCGCATGCGGGAAGACGTGGAGACATATGTAAGGACTTGTCTAGTTTGCCAACAAGACAAGACCGAGCAAGACCACCCGCATGGCTTGTTATCACCCTTGTCTATTCCAGA